GTTTAGGGTTTAGGGTTCAGGTGTCTTAGCGACGTTTCGGCGTGTAAGATAACATAACTTAACATGATGTAGCAGATGGTAAAACATAAGTGAAACATAACATGACAAGGACACTATGGCATGTACAGCCTAACAGAATCGATGTACGCACACACACACACACATATATATATATATATGCATACATACACAGACGCTATCAGTATCAGCAAACAGGCAAACAAAATAACACACCATGAAAACGCATGGCAAAATACACAACATATCATAGCATAGTATAGCATGTTGTCACAGAATATCGGAACTCTAAAAAGGCAGTATCCAGCATACAAGCACTTTGTCTAACAGTATAAAGTGTGCAATGTATTATGGTTTTTACTGCGACGCAGAATATGCAATTTATAATAAAGCCGGAAAGAACAGAATGCAACATTCTACACCAATACAGTGTATACTAGAATACATACTGCAATTTATAACATAGTAAGAGGTCACAGACAGTCTAACGTCGTGCTGAATAAAAATCAGACCCACATATATTCTAGTGAATAGAACATCTGGGTGAAATTCAAACTGTTATATGTATATAGCATGCAGAAGTATACTCTGATCCTGTATAGTATGTTGTAGAGCAAATAGTACATGATGAACTTTCTGCAAACAAAAAGAGACACACTACCAACATACTATCACAACTGGAAGTTTTCTGTAATATTAATGAAACTAGAACAATCAACATATAGTGAAACGTAATTAACATATGGAACCAACTCACAATTTACAACTGATTTGTGCAGTGTGCAATACACAATGAAGTATGACACAGTATAGGATCATGTGCCGTTGTGTGTATGTGCATATATATATATATATACAGTATGTATAGCACAATCTAAAACCGTGTATCCCATTATAACGAAAAAACTATAATACATTATGGTATAATGTAATGACATTGCAATTATACATATAAACATAATCAAGTGTACTGAGATAAGTTCTAATGTATTGCAAAACGAACCAGAAACACCTGTAATATACTTTAATGCAACAGCACAAAGGAAAACTGTAATGTAATGTATTACACAACATACCACTATACTGTAAGATAATTTATTATGTTGCGAAACAAAACAGAAACACCTGTTCTATACTTCAATATAATAACGAATATGAAACCTACAAATGAAAAGCAACACACAACATAATAAACTACAACATAAAGCAGTATATACCATACACAATCCTAGAATACAAACAGTAGGACGCCGACACATGACACGTATCGACTACGCGGCCATCTCATGCAATATCATGAATAGTGTAAAAAGCACACCGGACCTTCATATAATAAGATCAGGTAAAACGATAGAAGACGATATAACCTAGTGTAAAATAAAGGAGTGTAATATGGTATAATACAAGATAGCATGATATAACAGAACATACTCGCACTTGTACTCTACTGCCCCAGAGCCCTTGCCAAGCTGCCGTGGACGTCGGAGGTGTCAGGTAGCAGGGAGGAAATCCAAAGAGTATGCCTTGGATATGCAAAGCTTACAGCTTGCTCGCCCTCAGCTCGAAGGTACTTTGGTGCACATTAATGTGACTTCCATGTGGGGATACCATTGCGAAATATTCAGACCCCATCGTAGTTCTGCTGCTGGAAGCTTATACGGGTTCTATGACGGGTTTCATAAAGTTCTCGAAGGGTGCTAACCAAAGTGCCATCAAGGAAGAATCCTTGAACCGAATAAATGAAGGCTATTTCTGTAACTTAAGGAGTCTATACCGTGATCAGGGGGCATGCTGAGCGATGTGCCAGACCTGTAATGCAACCTGCTGAGTTACTGCCGAAGTTTCCACACAGCTAGGTTCCGCGGTAGCACCTTAGACATCGTCGATGCTATCCTTGTTCTTAACATTCAGTTTGAATGGCCGACAACTTTATAGAAAGTGTAGGGTTACTCCTGGGTGACGGAGTCATGCCGAAGTTTTACCGCGCTTTGCATCCGTGACACAACGGGAGCTGACACGCGCCAGTGGATCCTTCCGTGTCGTTCGAGCCTCGGCTTGAGGCTTTACCTGTACCCAGAGACTCTAATATCCCCTAATTAAGGAATATACCTTAAATCATATTAAGGATCCTACTATAATTTAAGGCATATTCCTTCATTAAGGAATATTGGATTCTCTGGGTAGTCTCCAGTGTAGTTCGTTTTTTGGTTTAACCAGTTATATATTAGGGAGTTTATAAGGCATCCCCAAAAAGGAACTACAATGGAGACTATAGGTAGATTTGGGGGTTGTAAGGGTTTCTGACTCCATGAGATGCACTGGAGTATACAGGGCACCCGCTTTTCTGCATTCCGGGGCTCTCACCTATGTGTGAGAAATCCTGCTTGGAGGATCATGGGACTTAGTAAGTATGGTTATAAGTCCCCTAATTGGGGTTATAATTATAGTTACCTTAGTTATAACCCTACTTGCTAAGTCCCACGATCCTTTAAGTAGTCTTGAATCATGCGTTGTTTGCCCTGTCCCGCTGTGAATGCAGGCATGCATTGGAGACGTGTCAGCTGCCTGACTGTTCTCTGAAGCTAAGCAGCCGCTAGGCTAAATAGTAGGACCCGTATTATAAGGACCCCAAAATAAGGTACCCTAATTTTTGGAAACTCCCACTTCTGGCGAGTAATAGGAGAATAAGTCGCACATGCGCAGCTCCTGGCGGAATTCCTTCACCCAGACCACCGGGAGGATCCAAAAAATAGATCCTTTAAGGGGTTCCTATAAAGTACCCTTTAGTAGTTAGGGTCCCAGATTAGGGGATCTATTTCTTAGATCCTCCCGGTGGTCTGGAAACCCCAGAGAGCCCAGCGCCCCTTAATTAAATCCTCATATTAAGGCCCCAACCCTTATAGTATGCCTTATAAAACCGTTAAAGGAACCACTTTAGTAGTTCGGTTCAGGCGGTGTCCATGAAGCAAGACCAGGCATGAGAGGCCCAAAGGCTCCGATACTCCCCGAGGTTGGCCCTCTAAAGCCGTTGAAACATGTTCGTACATAGGATCCTCCTAGGCCCTCTAAGGGAATGCACAAGATGTCCCAAAGGCCTAATGTAGGGGGCCTTCATAACTACCTCTACATTTTTTTTTTGGGGGGGTTGTTATATTAGTTATAGTATGTTATTGCCCAAAACCCTACTCTAATTATTAAGGCCCCTAAACCCTAAACCCTTCTAATATCGCTTATAGAACCCCTCAAAGGAACCCTACTCTAACTATTACCCAGACCACCGGGAGGATCCAAAAAATAGATCCCCTAAGGGGTTCCTATAAAGTACCCTTTAGTAGTTGCGGTCCCAAATTAGGGGATCTATTTTTTAGATCCTCCCGGTGGTAGGGGTAAGGCCCCACAAGATTCCTCTAGCACCGGGAGGATCTAAAAATTAGATCCCCTACTTGGAGGATCATGGGACTTAGTAAGTATGGTTATAAGTCCCTTAATTGGGGTTATAATTATAGTTACCTAAGTTATAACCCTACTTACTAAGTCCCATGATCCTTTAAGTAATCTGGGACCCTAACTACTAAAGGCTACTTTATAGGAACCCCCCTTAGGGGATCTATTTTTTGGATCCTCCCGGTGGTCTCTGTTACCTAGCTCTAGATCTCCCCAGAGAGCCCAATACCCCTTAATTACCCAGACCACCGGGAGGATCTAAAAAATAGATCCCCGAAGGGGTTCCTATAAAGTACCCTTTAGTAGTTAAGGTCCCAAATTAGGGGATTTATTTTTTAGATCCTCCCGGTGGTCTGGGTAAGGAATATATCTTACATCATAATATCAAGGCCCCTATAATTTAAAGGTATATTCCTTAATGAAGGGGTATTGGGTTCTCTGGGTCTGCTATTATCATAATATCAAGGCCCCTATAATTTAAGGTATATTCCTTGTTTAAGGAGTATTGGGTTCTCTGGGTTACCTAGCTCCAGATTTCCCAGGGCGAGCAGCAGCCATGGTTGGCAGGAAGGTCCACGATGGCGCGTCCCGTCTCGCGCAGCTGGTAGAACTCCTGCGTCTCGTTTTTAGGGCTTACCCAGACCACCGGGAGGATCCAAAAAATAGATGCCCCTAAGGGGTTCCTATAAAGTACCCCTTAGTAGTTAGGGTCCCAGATTAGGGGATCTATTTTTTAGATCCTCCCGGTGGTAGGGGTAGGAGTTCCTCAATTGGCTTAGGGTTTAGGGTGTTCGTGTTGCAGGTTTAGGGTTGAGGGTTTTAGCCTTTTAGGGGAACTAAAGGTAAACCCTTGGAATTTGGCATTACATAGGGATTATAGTACTCCTAAACACTAAACCCTAAACCCTAAACCCTAAACCCTAAACCCTAAGCCCATGAAGGCTAAAGGTTCCTGGTCCAATGAATCTATCGGCATGCTCAGAATGACTGATCGCAGCAGCTCTGTCGCAGAACAATCACCACAACAGTCCTAAAACCCCAGAAACCTAAACTCGAAATCTTAAACCCTAAACGCTAAACCCTTAAACCCCCTAAACAATAAACCCCACTCTGAATTCGGATTTAGGAAATACTTGGAGGTTCATGGGTAGTTATAAGTGGAGTTATAAGTAAGCTAACTATAATTATAACCCATATTAGGGGACTTATAACCCTACTTATAACTACCCATGAACCTCCAAGTAGACAGCAAGTCAATGAGTCAATCTCACCACCGCCCAGGCACTTTGTACCAGCCCGACACGAACTCCACGGACTGCTCCTCAAGGTCTTGCGGTTTAGGGTTTAGGGTTTAGGGTTGACCCAATTCTCCAATGGGGTGGTTCTCTAAATTAGGGTCCCTTTTTGGGTCCTTGTTATAATACGGCACCCTTATAATATGGACCCTAAAAGGGACCCTAATTTAGAAAACTACCCAATGGTTGTTGGGGGAGGGGGGGGGTTTGATAATTTGATCAGAGTAGTCCGGTTTAGGGTTCGGGGTTTAGGGTCTCAGAAACCCTAGACCCTGAACCGTTACTGATTCGAGCTCCTTTCACAAATCTTCCTATAACTTACCTGTAGTCTCCATTGTAGTTCCTTTTTTTTTTTTGGTTTAACCAATTATATATATATATATATATAATTGGTTTATAAGGCATCCCCAAAAAGGAACTACAATGCAGACCATAGGTAAGGGCTCCTATAGGGGCCATTTTTTTTTGACGTGGCTTTGGGTCCGTAGCCGAATCCGAGCTCAAGTCTCCGACTGGGCCCCGCACCCCCCATTGGTCGATGATGTAGGTGGCGGTGGCTTGCCTTGAGAATCGGGCTCTTAATAGTCAGAAAAGGGTTCTGTATTATATGGGGTATTATGCAACTATTATGGGTGTATTATGGAACTATTATGGTTTTGTGGTGTGTTCTGTATTATGGTACTATTATAGGGGGACTAGAGGGAATGAGTTATTTCTATCTACTCGCGACTCGCGACCCCCACGTTAAAGCCTCAGTATCTGAAACTTGGCATGCGGCAGCTCCACCAATCCGTCCCGGGCGAGACCGCGTCCTGGCAGAGAAACCATGGGCAGGAGGTCATATACTTACAAATGCTTCCTTAGGGTTTGTTTCATTGTTGTATATATCCTTTTCGCTGTGCCCGAAACCGTTTGGACTATCGTCCTCTATACACTCCCCCACCAAAAACAATTCAGCTATTGAGGCACGTTGCTAGCCGACTCATCCACCGATCTTCCAATGTACCCGTTGAGATATGCCGTTCTTGAAACCATATTTAATATCGTGCAGTATATGATAGGTCGAAGGACATATTTCCTCAGTATTGAGAGGTTTACTACTTGAGGCATATTCATATCACGCCTTGCTTTATGGTAGAATGGGACGTTCCGAATTTGAACGTATAGTGAGGGTCCATCACAGATGTCGACTCTACTTTGCCTGTGTAAGCTCTGTTGGCTGGTTGCTCTCTACATATTAAACCTCCCTCTGTTTTAAGAAGATCTCACGGCGAATTCTGGTCATTACATAAAGCCTTAGCCGACAATAACTGCGCCACATCCGTCTAGTTGCAGGATTTGGCACCAGGGGTGGTCGTTTCTTGCCGCAGTGAAGGGCAAACTTACGAAAGCTACGTCCCCTCATCCTTCAACTCTTCTAAGGTTTTTCTAAGGGCCCTCATAAAGCGTTATAGGCGCTCGAAACGCAAAACCCAAGTTACAGAAACTAAAGACTAGGTCCCTGGATCCCTTTACATGCCTTTCCTAATAACAGCCTGAGTTCTTCGGCGGCGGCCCCCTTTTGGCCTCTCGTTGTGTGGTTGACGGTGTATACGTTTTTTTTGCTCATGGCTTTGCGGTTTACAAGGTTTGGGGCCTTACCTATAGTCTCCATTGTAGTTCCTTTTTTGGGATGCCTTATAAACTCCTTAATATATAATTTGTTAAGCAAAAAAAGGAACTACAATGGAGACTACAGGTAGGGTTTACCGGGTTCAGGGGGCTTGCTGTCTCCATTGAGATTTGAAGCCCAGACCTCGCCTAGGCCCTCAGAACGTAGTTCGCGAAAGTGCCGCCAAATTGGTGCGAAGCCTGTCACAGAGAGGTACACAGCTATGCATCTCGGGGCGGAAATCTCGGAATTGTAGACATGCCCTGCATGAGAACAGTCTACGCGACAATTGAGGGTTCGCGTCTTCAAAGCTGTGGATGTACAGTGCTTGCGGCAGTGTCCAGCACGGCAGAAGTAGATTCAACAAAGCTTCACAGGCAATTTGTGCATTTTAACCGATGCAGGCCGCGAAAGATGTTGGCGGCGATTGGCCCTCACTTTCGATGAGCCAAACATAGCATCGAGCGAGCCCTGTCACAAAGCGAAAAACCTTTACATATCAAGGGTTTAAGGTGTGGCTCTTACGTGGGTAGCCGCCCATAAGCCCAACTTCGTAAAGCGCAGTCTAACTCTGCGGTTACCGCGACTTGCCAAACACCAAACGCCAAGCCCCTAAACCCCCGAAGCCTAACCCCTAACCCCTAAACCCTAGCCGCTAAACCCCATATAAACCCCAAAACCCCTATAAACCCCAAACCCCTAAAACCCCCTAAACTCTTATAACCCCTAAACTCCCTAAACCCTAACCCCTATAAACCCCAAACTCCTATAACCACTAAACCCCTATAAACCTATAGTTGGGGAATACCACTGA